TAATTGAAAATGAAGATAGAAAAGAAATTCTTCAGTCAGTGGACACGTGATTTTAATTATACGTGCTTCTGAAAAATAATATATGAAATATAACCACTGCCTAATTGTTATTGAATAATAATCTTGAATAATAGTGAATTGATTCATGCATTGTATTATGGCACTAAATTTTAGTATAGGTACAACCTTCTATTGCCATAGAGTTTCTAAGCACAAATCATTTCCAATTAACTGATTTGTAAACAAAGGACAAAATTCTTTTCATTGATTCTTTCATCAGACGAGGTATGGAAGGCATTTTTCAACAAATTGTAGACTGCCGTCACTAGCTGCTTTCATTTACTGTCTCAATATCAAAGATAAGGATGATTAGCCTAGAGAAAGGATAAGCAACGAGGAAATCTACCAGTGGACTAACCAAGAAGCTATCAATCAACGAAGTGTCTATAAAAAATGGAGGTGCAGACCGTTGAGTCAGATAAAAGGTCAGGCTGTTGAGTGGAATCTGAATAGAGAACCACAAGTTCGGTGTATGTATGTGCGTGTATGCGTGCGTGAGAAGGTAACATGGAGGCGATCGTATGAGGAGGAATTGAGAGATTATTTATGAGCAGTTGAAAAGCCTAGCAGAAAAGACTATTGGTAATAAGATGAAGTCGAGCTTTTCTGAGAGTACTGGACAGATGTTCGGCCCTAGTTTGGGACTGTTCATCAGTACGCACCCACCGGAGTTCGAACCTAGGACCTACTGGTTATAAGGCTCGTAGACCATTAAGCAGCCACTGAGACATGATCCAAGTAATTATATTGATTAGATGCTCACTAGCGACATGCCCTATTCAGGTAGGTAGTTACCTGGGGTTCCAGTTGGGAAGTCGTGACCAGTAGGGTGCAGCAGGTCCGGTGTGAGGACAAATACTCGCCCCCGAAGACATTGGCCTGGGGGTCGCGCTATGTCGTGAATTGGCAGAAGTTACAATTCGTGGGCCATTGGATCCATTGGATCGGGTCCCAGTGGCTTAATAGTCTACGAGCTCGCTAGCCTTGTAACCAGAAGGTCCTGGATTCGAACCCCGGGGTGCGTACTGATGAAGAGTCCCAAAATAGGCTAACAAAACGGCTGTGCAATAATCTCAGTTTTTCCAATGGTTCTCTAACCAATGTCAGCTCATGATGAAATCCTGTAACCAATCAAATCTCTACAAATCAACACCTGAATATCGAGCTTTTTTGTTGAAGCTCTATGTTCCACTTAGGACCCGAAGGAATGGTGATAATGGTTATAATAATAGTAATAATAAAAGAAATATTGCGATGAAAACCATTTATGTTCTAAATAACACTAAATTCTTCCCTCACTCTCAGCTTAAATAGCTTAGCAGGGAAAATGAAAAGTTATCTAAAATGAAGGATAATATAATTGAGCTGAAAATCTTTGTATTCACTATGAATATTTTGTCTCTCACGTAATTCCATCAAATTCATCAGGGGAAATTGATCAAAGTCATTTGTAAAGTTTCCTAGATATTTTTAAGGTAGCCAAAGTGGACGTCCCCTTCATATTCGCATACATGAAGAAAAACTAGCCGTCAAAAGATATGACATCCACTCAGTCGCTAACATCACTACATACAGACAACCAAGGACATCAATTCGACCCAGACAATCAACGTTCAAATATTAGACAAAGGAAACAACACCAAGAATGCTAGAGAATTTTTAGAAGCCGACCTGATATTCCAGTAAATTATCGATCGGTAGTCACATCGAGATAGACAAAATTTACCAATCGATAAGAGGGAAATCTCATACACAAAGGGTCAAAGTTCAAGTCAAGGAAACAATCAGCACCAATATCAATATATACAATTAGCCTTGAGGATGTGAAAACTCACAAAAAGAACACAAACAACCACGTTGAAAGTCACCACCCATCGGGAGTGATGACTGATAAACTCGTGGAGAAATATGAAAGCTCACTTCAATTCAAATTGAAGTATGGGTGCTGAAGATGTTGCCTGGTAGTAGGGTAATGAAAGCTTCGCAATCGAAGAAGCATTCAGCTTAGAGACACACAACTACATCAAAATTCAGGTGTAATCATCTTATAAGTGAGAATTGCAACTCCATGTCTTTACAAGTCTTCTTTCTTTACACATTCGCTTCCCGCGATAAATTTCGATAGAGAAAGAAAGACGAAATTTGCAGTATGAAATGATTTCATCATTCTATTTCACAGGTTCTCATCATCTGCGGACTACCCCCAGCTGCGTTTATAAATTTACGTGCACTTGTGGGAGGAAGTAAACTGGAAGGCCGGAAACAAGGGCTTCTATCCGATTTTCTGAACAGATTCCAAGAAACCTCTGCCTGAAAGGAAGAAAATATTCTCAGAGTGCAAATACCAGACATATTGTTGATACTGGTCATCTCGTACAGATTCCTAAGTTTTTTCAAAATATTTAATAGACAATAGACAGCAAAATTACTACGATTCGCTGAAGCGATCTCAGTCAAATAATTCAAACTAGCTAGACTTATGCATGCAGAAAGAGACTGTGATTAATCTCTCACTTACTCTCTTGGTAACTGAATTTTGATTACAATAATAATTTTTGTCTAATCAAGTCTGAAATGCACAGACTGAATTCATTTTTCTAACCAGAAGTTTGTATCCTGTAAAAGGCTTCTAATATATGGAAACGTTTTAAAGAAATTACTGGTGGTAAGCAAATGAATAGTATTCCTTATTCCTTTGATGTGTGTACACTAAACAAGTCTTTCATACATTCCCCCACAAATGCCAAACTTTATAGTGTTACAAGTGTTAATGAAACCTGCTTCCCTGGTTTTAATACAAATGATGTTCTTAAATGTCTCCAGTCTCTGAACCCTTCTTGTAGCCTAGGTCCAGATAGTTCGCCTAGTGTTATTCATAAAAAGTGTTCAGATATCCTGTGTTATCCTCTTATGAACTTATTTAACGAATCGTTTTTCAGAAATGTTGTGCCAGCTATTTGGAAGGACATTAAAATTGTACCTGTACCTAATTCGTCTACTGGAACAAGTTTTAAATTTAGACCTATCGTTATTACGTCTCCTTTTCTAAAAGCTATGGAAAAGCTACACTTACTTAATCTTCAACCTTCACTAAAAACCTTTAACGATCCCAAATAATTCGCCTATAAACACACTAGAAGTACTTTAAATGTAGCTGCAGTCTTGCATGATAACATTGTCAACAGTTTAGACAAGGGGGCTGAATTTGTTCGCTGCACCTTCCTAGATTACACATCTGCTTTCGGTTTAGTACCGCAGATATTTTGTTCAATAAGCTTGCTGAAACTCAAACTGACTGTTGGGTTGTCAAATGGCTGCATTCTTATTTCTCAGGAAGAAAGAAGTAAACTGTATTTCAGGGAAAGTCGTCCACGTTATTACTTACTGAGGCTGGTATCCCTCAAGGCTCTGTTCTTTCTCCTTTCCCGTTTTCTTTCTCCTAGCATGGATGCCTCACTCTGATGATGAAATGAACTTTGTTAAGTATGCCGATGATCTGACTATTTCAATGTCTCTTACCTACCAGCTAGACTGTACTGAGATTAACAGCTTTCTATCAGCAGTTAGCGAATGGTCTTCGCCTACTGATCTTAAACTAAATCTTTCCAAATGTCAGACTGTTGATTTCCAGTTTCCAATGGAAAAGACAGTTAAATGAAGCTGTTAATTCCTTCGACCATTACAAAATTGACGATATTGATATAGAAATCAAATCTGAAGTTAAGTATCTTGGAATAATTCTTTCTTCTGACCTATCCTGGTCTTCCCATGTCTTAGCAATTTCTAAAAGAATATATCGTCTGACGTTTTAGGTTAAAAAGTTAAGGCATTCAAGCATAAGTATCCTCAGGTAAAACAAGGAGTCTTTTCAGGAGACTTTATGCACGTACATCTAAGTATAAAAATTCCACTATACCATATTTGGCAGGTACTTTATGTAGTGAAAATAGTATCAGGGATAAACTGACTAACTAACCTTCTTTGCATCAGTAAATAAACCATTTTCTCCAACCTTATTGTACTTCTTACATATTTATAATCCTCTCAATTTTTTTGTTTCTATTTGTTTATTTTTTCATAAGTGTGAACATCGTTTAAGCTGTGTTCTTTTTCCTTCACGTTCCCAGTGGAACATAGGGCTCCAGGCTAGTGGCTTGAAGTTTCTTTAGCAGTGGTGATTATTTTTACAGGATGGGGTAGCTAGCTTCATGCCCAACCTTTCCTCTTTACCAGCATTATTTCTGGCTTAGCGAGGTAAAACAGTGCGTCTGTGGCCGGGGATCGAGCCCCGGACCATGAGCATAGTCGGTGAGCGTCCTAAACTGTGTAATAACCGTTATTTTTTGTCTTTCCCTTCATCATACTATATCAACAGAACATTAGATTCAATAATCTATAACAGGCTAAAATTTCTAAACTGAATCGCCAATAACTGTTTGAAACAAATTCACTGTTATCATGATTATTATATTTAATATTCTCATTTTGTACTTCGAATATTTTTGACTTTATATCGTAAATGTGGACAAATTTCTCTAATTAATTTTTGTTTAAATGTTTAATTTTACTTATATTTTGAGTAAATCAGATGTAAGATATTGTGACAAAATGCCGAAAATTCCATTCCGTATGATAAGTACTGTTTTTGGAATAAAATAGATTATTATTATTAATTCAGTAGTCTCAACTCACTGAAGAAATCTGAATCTTATAAACTGTAAGCGCTCTTCCTTCTTTCATAATGCTCATTTTCTATTGGAAAATATGTAAATTTGTTCAATTAGTGACTTCTTTTTAACCAATACTGACATGATTACATAACATACAATAAGGTATACATAGATATTTTAATGTCACACGTACACTACAGTTAAAACAAGAATTCATCTAACTAACCTTCTCATTTCCATTCATATTAAAGAAGTCAAATATATATAAAAATGACGTGGCTAAATTTATTAATATGCTTACTTTTGAATGGATTCGTATCAGGCAAGAGAAAACTAAGCACAGAAAGGGATGATACTCAACATGCTAGAAAATCAAATAATGGATTCATTTCAGCCGATCAATTAAGCCTAACAGTAAGTAAGAGTGATTATTAAAAGTACTCTTTGTCTAATTATATTTAGTCTGATCATCCATACTATACACAGTCTATTAGTTTTCGTCAGAAGGCACCGATAGAATTTACTAAATCGAAAAGGGTTACAATTCCAGCTGATATTTCTATGGTAAGTTGAGACAAATTTTTTTTTGTTCTTACGGTAACTGTTGATTTTTCACACAGAATATCACCACAATGTTTCCAATCGATTATTTTGCAAATTCGTTTAATTCTGTTCAAATACTTGCAAGAGGTGAGTTCAAAATCTTATTGATTGTTTCACAATAAAATTGACTTTATAAAGTGCAGTGCTTGAATAGTCTGAGTGATAATGTTTAATTGCATGTGAGACTGTCAGATGAAAAACACGGATAGTTTCTGATAGTCTCATAATTATACTTTCTAATCATGTTAAGGGTTAATTCAGTGAACAAAGATTCGTTCATTAACCATTATCTTCACCTCACTATTTCATATTAGTTTGTTTATTAGATATATCACACAGTCAGTGAAACAGTATTATTTACTGGATGACAAGGTTTCGAACAAAATCTGATATTGTGGTTCATTATTATTATTTATTGTATTATTATTTCCTTTAATTCCTAGAGGAACATAGGGCTTCAGCCGAGCGTCTCCATTGCGTTCCGTCTTCTGCCAGCGCTTTCAACCCGCTCCAAGTCTGCTCACATGCTTTCATCTCCTCTTCACATGACCTCCTTCAAGTCACCCCACCATCGCACTGACGACCAACTCGCCGTTTCCATTTCGGCTTGTCTAGTGATGTCACTTGATGGTTTCCTCAGAGTATGGCCAGCCAATTCACCTCCATTTCTTCCTGCTTATTTGTTGCACAGTCGGTTACTAGTTAGTTCGCTCCGACAGATTCCTATTGCTTATATTTTATGGCCGACCATTTGATCTTGAGTTCTGAGCAAAGACAGCTGTTGACGAAGGTCTGTAGTTTGTTTGATGTGTTCTTTATGACGCGCAAAAGTCTCTGATCTGTATAGTGAGTAGAACTGACTCCATATTTGAACTGAAAATCCGGATGTTATTTTTGATGCTGAGTGCTTCTGACCTCCACACAGATTTGAGAGTAATGAAGGCTTGTTTTATTCTTTTGGTTCCTTATCATATCAATTACAATCACACGACTTCGAAACTTGACTTTTATAGTTTACTTTGTTCTCTCCTATTCGTCAGCGTTGGTGAAGTAGAATTTTCCAGATATCCAACTGGACAGGTGTTGAATCATTCCTATTACACGTATTTTCATTCAGTTGATTCGATAAACCAAGCTTCTGTTATCAATCTCTCCCTCCACCCAGCTGTCACATAAGATTTGAAAACTGTCATCCTATCCCATCCATACTATTATGTGCTAGTGTGTGTCTGTATGTAATTGCATGTAGTGCTATCTACAGCTGAACTATTTTCTATATTTTTTATCTTATTCAGGTCAACCAATCCAGATTTTGCTAGGTCTTTATGCTCGACTAGTCTGACAGACTGCACCTGTTCTGATACTGTGAACAGTGTATTTGACCTGGCAATCATCACGGCCGGGGTATTCGACAAACTAAATTGTTTTGTTTTCAAGGTTCCACATGATCCTTTAGTGATAAAGATAATAATAATAAGGATAGTAATATTAATGACGACATGCAAGTCAAACATGCACTGGATAATGACAACACCAACAATAAGGAATCTAAATCATCAGTAGTAATTCCATTCATGAATGGAACCTCGGAAACCACCTTACGCAGAATTCTTAACAGGATGGGCAGGAATAAAAGTGGGTGCCACCAGAACCACCCAAAAACTCAGTCAGAAACTAGCTTCGTCGGTTGAAGGATCAATCCTGTGGAGCCTTTAAAGCAAAACAATATTGTTTGCCGAAAACCTCGCCCGTGATGATTGTCAGGTCAAATAGATAGGTCAGAGTAGTTGAAGAGGGTCAGTCAGTCAGACTAGTCGAGCATAACAGCCTAGCAGCAAAATCTAGATGAGTTGACTCGAATAAGATAATAAGAGGTGTGGAGAATAATTTAGCTAAACCACTCACTACATACAACTACACACATACAATCACAAAATAGGATGAATGGGATAGGATGACAGTTTTCAAATCTTATGTGACAGCTGGGTGGAGGGAGAGATTGATAACAGAAGCTTGGTTTATCGAATCAACTGAATGAAAATACGTGTAATAGGAATGATTCAACACCTGTCCAGTTGGCCATCTGGAAAATTCTACTTCACCAACGCTGACGAATAGGAGAGAACAAAGTAAACTATAAAAGTCAAGTTTCGAAGTCGTGTGATTTTAATTGATATGATTATGAACCATAATAAATTTTGTTCGAAATGTTGTTATCTAGTAAATAACACTGTTTCACAGACTGTGTGATATATCTAAAAAAAGATTTAATATGGAATTAGCTATTATCACTGTGCCTATGTTGTGCACATATATTCACCTTACTATGTTTCTTTTGAATACTCACCAGATATGAATGTGATATTTATTGTTATTATTATGATTGAATTGGGTTCTCAGTGGAGCAGCATAGAGATTCAACAGAACACCTTCTTTTCTCTCGGGTATCTACAGGCATTCCTTAACTTGCTTCACGATTGACTATAACCTCTTATCTCCTCATCATACTATCTCTTTTCGATGTAACCCTCTGATCAACGACCACATCGTCATTCCCGCTTTGCGGATTTCTTATTTTAGGGCACATAATTTCGCACAACAGTCTCTTCAGCTTGTATCCAATTCATCTGCATTTCCTTACGGATAATGTATTTAGCTGCAGGTTCTCGGTTGGTTTGTTGAGGTAGAGTTTCTTGTCGCTAACCTGATCTTTAGTATCCAGATACAGAAGGCATTTGTTGATGCCAGTCTTCAGCCTGTTGGAAATACTTTTGAATGTCAGCGAAATATAAAATGCGAGTGATTTGGCTGTCATATATATTTAGCTTACTGAATTTTGGCTTCCTGCATGATTGTTTTTACTATGATATTCAGCGGCCTCCACAATGTATGTATGCTCAATCCATCAATCTCCACTTTCTCCTACATTTTTGTTGTTCGATCGGCTCTTCGTTGATTTGCTCCACTACAAAGGTTCTTGTTGCTTATTCTTTCTGGCCCGCCATTTGATCTTCAGCGTGGCGCCAGACAGTGAAGTGTTCAGCTGTTGATGAATATCTGCAGCTGGCTGTTGGAAATCCTTTTCGTGCTACGCAGCTTAAGTTTCTGAACTGTATGGAAGAACTGACTAGCTGGCTGCAGATTTGTGTTGAAAATGCATTGCTTGTTCTTTATCCTGACTGAGTGTAGTATAGAAGACTTCCAAACTGGTTTCAGGTTAATAAAGGTGTATCTTGCCTTGCTATTCCAATTCTGGCTGGCTGTCTTCTCTGTTTACCTCTTCAGCCAGTTTTTGTTAGTTTTCGCCTGCAAGTCTTCGAGTTTGTGTGACATTAGACATATATATCATGTGCAGTGCACTAATAATTCTTCTGATAGACTTCAAGTTACTTGGATGTTAGTTAGTTAGTTAGTTTTTTCTAAGTAATTTACATATATCACGTCCACTAGGCCTGATTTTATGTTCACATACTACTATTGCATTTTCTTATCAAAGCCGTATTTGTGTTTGTCGACATTAGTGAAACTAAGGATAAGTTATCTCATCTTTTCATTACTCCGAAATTACTGCTTCCCTTTTTGCGTAATTTACTTATCCGATGTATTCATGTGACTGATACATGGTCAGTGGTTCAATAATAGAATACTCGTCAATCATATAGATTCCTTGAATTCGATTCCCATGTACCAATGTACTGTTTAACTTCGCCTAGCCGATATTATCCTGAGTTAAAGCGGAAAGCTTTTGAGTAAGATTAATTACCCTGTTCTATAAAAACAAACCAACCCATCACCTCTTTTAACACTTGAAATGTGCATCGGTGGCACAGAGGTTAGGAGTCTTGCCGACTATGCAAAAAATCGTCTGGGGTTCCAGTCCCTACCGGCACACACCTGATATCATCAATTGGTTGGCCTGGAAAATTTGCCCTGAAAATTTCATACCTGTACCAAAAATACGGTGTAAAATCAAGCTATAATCAAAAAAGCTTCCCCACTTGGAACTCAGAAAGAGATGATCAAATGTTACAGAAAATAATTACCTTGTGTGATGAAGATATTAAGAGGCTGTGAATTCATGCTTTAGTCAATTTTATGTTGCCTTGAATTATCTGTACAGACTATCCATGTTATGCTTTCATATTGTATATTTTTAAGTGACGTATTACACTCCTATATACTTCTTGCATGGTATTTTCAATGATTTTTACTTGAAGATTGGATTACTGGATTCCCTTCAGCGTTTCACACTTCTTTTCGTAGACTTGTAATCGAATACCACACACTGTACTATTTTGACGCGCTTTATTATTATTACTACTATCCTTCTCTTGGGTTCCAATTGGAACCAAACTTTATTATTATTGCTGCCTTGGGTTCCTAGTGGAACATAGGGCTTCAACTGCACGTCTCCATTTGCTTCTGTCTTCTGCTATACTTTTCGCCTGCATCCATGTTAATCCATATTCTTTCAACTCCTCTTCACACGATCTCCTCCATGTCACCCTTGGACGTCCCACACGCCGCTTCCCTTTCGGGTTCCACTCGAGGGCTTGGCGCGCGATGTCACCCAGCGGTCTCCTGCTCAGCAAGTGTCTGATCCATCTCCACTTTCTCCTGCATATTTGTTGGGCGATTGGTTCTTGCTTTGTTTGTTCCCATAATTCCTTGTTGGTGATTCTGTCCGGCCATCTGATCTTCTGTATAGAGCGATGATAGTTAGTTGTTGATAAAGGTCTGCAATAGCCTGTTGGAAATATTCTTTGTGACCCGCCCGCCAAGTTTCTGATCCGTATAGAAGAACTGACTTTACGTTTGTATTGAAAATCCGAATTTTGTTGTTGATGCTGAGTGACGAAGATTTCCAGATTGATTTCAGGTTGATGAATGTGTTTCTCGCTCGCCTTCCCGATTCTCGCTCGATTTGACATCCTCGTCCGTTCCGACTTCCTGTAGTTGAGACAATGCTCCCTAGATAAGTGAATGCATTAAGTAACCTCTTTCAAATCCCTCCCGTTGATGGTGATTGACGGTGGATGTGGCTGTTGTTGTTGGTTGGTTATTTTCATAACCTCCGTCTTGTCTAT